ATGCCATCCCTACCCAATCCCACAACCCGGAAAGGTTGGCCACACCACCGGGGGTATACAATCCCTACTCTCTTCCAATAGTGATGTTCCCACAAGAAGAAATAATTGAAAGTGCTGTGAGACAGGACCTACGGTTTTTCGTCCTTAACCGAGAATACTAGAAAGCCTAAACATTTGAAGATGTCATTTCAAAGGCAGCACTTTCATCTCAGTTATATAAAGACCCTGAGTGTTGGTCCGGCCGGGGTTTGAACCCGCGTTGAACCCTACGTCCGGTTAGATTGTGCTTATACTCGTTTCGTACCTACGAGACTAACTCAGAGCCTTTAAATCAATGTTTGAGTTTCTCACATTTCTGGGTTTTATTGTCTCCTGCAACCTCTTGCGTTGAGCAGTATTTCAAGATAGCCGTTTGGGGATTAACGTAATAATTCTTATGCACATCACTGCAATAATGTGCTATAATCATTTTTTAGTTTCTTGATGTTGCAGAGAAGAAAACTGATCAATACCCACTACACAAAACAAAAGTATCGGTTTCCGCAACAGAAAGAAACACCCAAGATAACATTTAGAGTTAAGTACTCCATAGAAAAGTGCAAGAGCATGATTTTTAGTCCCGACGTGAGCAAGAAAATATAAGAGGAACTGAAACTTTACGACAAAGACCACATTAGCTACCATTAAGTGATGGGATGGACTCATGATAAGGGGCCAATTTTTAAAAAATCTTTGAGTACCATCGATCAAAGGGTTCTTGGTCCATTTTTTGCAAGAGATAATTAAAAGAAGCTTCATTATAAGAAATATATGAAAATGGCGCGTTATAAATCCGTTGCAAAAGGAGAATCACGGTACCGGGGTGCTACATACTTGAAAGGTCCAACCAGCATAAATCACTTTGTCGTTAGACCCTTCTCACCAAAATGGTTTAAAGAAAAGCGTGAGATTGAGATTGGAAGGGGCCACAAGGGAAGCTTGAAATCTTGTTTCTTCTCAATATTATTTAACAATATATCACCGTTTCTGATTGTTTGTCCCGCCGCTAAATCCTCAAAACCGACACACGATTACCATATTTGGAGGTCGATGTAGGCAGTACCCAATCGATGACATGCTCCTCCTCGATCTGCATAATTTTTCACATCATACTCAGCCTCATTCAATTATAGTTAAATATATGAAATATTTTTGACTCAATAAGGCTCTCAATAGAAGAGGAAAACTTTGAACTTGTTTCCGCCATGTTAATTAAGGCGGGGAGTCGAAAAATCATCCACATTGATCACGTCGAGTGAACCATTACATTATTCACGATATATGCACTGTGACTATAACTTTCAATCCGGAGAATTGATGTCTGTAATTTTGCCGATTAACTGCGAATGCGGTGAACTTTAACTGTCGAGACCCAACTGTTGTCTAACGAAAAGTTCGGAAATAGATCCTCAGAGAATGTTCCCCTAAATCTTCATTTGCTAGTTAGTATCTCTTTATCTTTGTTAGTATCTTTTTCTTTTCAGTATATTGTGTTTGGATTTTATTTTTATCCATTCACGGTAACCTTGGAAAGAAATTCAGTTTGCTGCATCCGCTTTCATTTCGCTTACAGTGTAGTTTATTTCGCTCTTCTTTCCCTTTCCCCTTATTTATTAATTCGGTACAAATTTGTTTTATGACATTTTACCAAGAACGCCAAACGAAGATTAATACGACTTCAATCAGTAATGTATTCGTACCGTGCGCAAGTCACTTTTTCATTAGGAGCTTTTACAATAGAGAGCCACCAAGGGAATGAGAACATCATAAAAATCATAAAATTAGATTAGCAACTTTATTTGCCCGTTTATCATGCTTTTCAAAATGTGAAACCTCCTTTAAAACTTATCAATATTCAGTAGGAGTATCGTCGAATTCAATCACTTGGGGCGGGGCTTTTTTATTCGGTCTGAGGAAAAATACTAGTTAAAATGACCGAAAGATTTGATGTAGAGAAAACCGTTATTTAGCAACCATACTGAAGTGAAATATTTATTAACCGTAATAGTTTATCAGCCTACCCCATAAAATGGCTTTTCAGCCAACTTCAAAATTTCAATTTTTCTACTTTACAATATGTGAAATTTACATTGTATTGGGAAAGAAAACTGAAATGAGGAATTGACGCTTCTTCACTTCAGCCTAAAGCTGCTCGAGATTCTTCTATATTACCTGAAGATTCTGCAAAATCATTCCAGAGGCGGACTGCTTATGGCCGCTGACCGGCAGTGAATCTAAAGGAAGGCATGTGTACCTTGTTGCTGTTTTCGATATTACGAGAGTGCGCATCGACCATTTTCTTAAACCTGTTGCAGATAAGGGGCTGGGCAAGTCCATTAACATGTGTTAATAAACTCGAATTTTTTTGAGGCTTGTCAAAAATAGCAAGACACGCGTTTTATCACTGGTTAAAAAATCTTGCGCTTATTACGCTCGAATGTTAAACTAGTGATAAAACACTGCTGTTCGTGTTTTAAACACTACTAAACACGGAACGCTTTCAGACTAGAAAGCAATTGTTTTTCCTTTTCCTACATTGAGATACATTACCTTAGAATTAAACACCAAAAACCATTCACCAACATTTGATAATCAACTTGAACGAATTATTTGACATTCTTGTAGTTCCTGGGTTACCTCAATAACCTTACCTTCATTATAATTTTTACCAAACGTTTTTACTAATAATTCCTCCGCTTTCTTTGTCACGTCAGTTTTGCGGTGTGCAGCGGCATTACAAATAGATTTAAAATAAAAGGCTGACAGAATCAATGATAAACGTCGTTGTATCTAACAAACACAATACCACATGGAAAGTGAGCTTATAATAAATCATATATGATTGTAATTTTAACTTCCACTTCACTTTACGTTTCCGTTATTTTATGGCTTAACTTCCTATAACTGTTCACCTCATTACAAAAAGTTCACACTTATTTTATCCTAAGAAAGACAAACGTACTAGTCGAAATATTGGCCTGAATAATAATGCCCTTTTGCACTTTAAAAACAGTTTATTTTAGTTCACCACGCTACGTCAAAAGACAATGACATGTAAAGTTAGTAGAGTATCGGCAAAAAAAGGAACAACCTAAACGTCAAATCCTTGACTCATTGTCTTCAGCTAATTATTTTAATGTATTTTGCCATGTAACTTTAAAAAATCATATCTCTGGTGTTATTTACAGTTCAATATCAAGCTATACCTCATTGGAAAGGGAAAAGAATACCCTTTCGAAAAAAAAATATTTCGGTCATAGGAAACCCATAATATTCCGCCACAAAAAAATTAAAAAAGCATATTTTGCATAAAAATTTTTTAAAATTTTAAAGAATGTCATTTAGCTAGGAAACTTCTTTATTTTGGGTGATATGGTAGTAAGAAATTTTTTTCATCAATATGTAAG